TATATTTCTAATTGGTATTTGTAGATTTACTTTACCTCCCTTTCTTCTCCTTGAATGTCTGTGTCCTCCTATCAGACAGTACAGGAGCACCAGCCGGCTTTCATAGCTCTTCACCTGCAGGAATTTGGGGGGAAGAACTACCAGGTGAATATGGGGTCCGCTGAATGCTTCATCAGGTAATATCCTCATCAGTCTCTGCCAAGAGATTATTTGTATTCAATCTGTACTCCAGACAAATAGGAAAGATGCAAATCAATGCACCTCTGTGAGTTGTAGCTCCTATTCCAGTGGACATTATGCTGCCTGTTGACGTGATTCTGATTTTATCTTTATGAGGATCATTTTCATGCCCATGTCATGGTGGGACAGACAAAGACAGTTGAGGAATGTACTGAGGGGTGCAAATGGGGCAACTGAACTCCACATAGAACTCAGATAGCATTCAGTATTTGTTACAGTGACTTATTCAGTGTATACTGCAGACATTATCCAGATGAGGTCCATTGAGTAATACAATCCATGTATGTGTATGTGTATGTTACATTGTCTGATACACTCCAGTGTATGTTACATTGGCTGATACACTCCAGTATATGTTACATTGTCTGATACAATTCAGTATATGTTACATTGAGTGATACAATTCAGTATATGTTACATTGAGTGATACAATCCAGTATATGTTACATTGAGTGATACAATTCAGTATATGTTACATTGTCTGATACAATTCAGTATATGTTACATTGTCTGATACAATCCAGTATATGTTACATTGTCTGATAGAATCCAGTATATGTTACATTGGCTGATACAATTCAGTATATGTTACATTGTCTGATACAATCCAGTATATGTTACATTGACTGATACAATTCAGTATATGTTACATTGTCTGATACACTCCAGTGTATGTTACATTGACTGATACACTCCAGTATATGTTACATTGGCAGATACTATCCAGTATATGTTACATTGTCTGATACTATTCAGTATATGTTACATTGTCTGATACACTCCAGTATATGTTACATTGGCTGATACAATTCAGTATATGTTACATTGAGTGATACAATTCAGTATATGTTACATTGTCTGATACAATTCAGTATATGTTACATTGTCTGATACAATTCAGTATATGTTACATTGACTGATACAATTCAGTGTATGTTACATTGGCTGATACACTCCAGTGTATGTTACATTGACTGATACACTCCAGTATATGTTACATTGTCTGATACAATCCAGTATATGTTACATTGACTGATACAATTTAGTATATGTTACATTGTCTGATACAATCCAGTATATGTTACATTGTCTGATATAATCCAGTATATGTTACATTGTCTGATATAATCCAGTATATGTTACATTGGCTGATACAATTCAGTATATGTTACATTGTCTGATACAATCCAGTATATGTTACATTGACTGATACAATTTAGTATATGTTACATTGTCTGATACAATCCAGTATATGTTACATTGTCTGATAGAATCCAGTATATGTTACATTGGCTGATACAATTCAGAATATGTTACATTGACTGATACAATCCAGTATATGTTACATTGTCTGATACAATTTAGTGTATGTTACATTGTCTGATAGAATCCAGTATATGTTACATTGTCTGATACAATTTAGTGTATGTTACATTGTCTGATACTAAGTGGGATCATTCAGAACTGATGACATTGAACATGTTTGATTTCACAGGACTCTAATACAGAGTGAAGAGATGTCACAGTATGACTGGGTTCGAGCCTTCATAGACAATGACTTTACCCAGCCAGACAGCTTTACAGTGAGTAAAACATGTCCATTCATGAGTGTATTATCCATATCAGAATTTCTGTGCGTGTCTAATCTGGGGAGCAGAAAATGGAAGTATCGGATTTTCATATCAGCAACCAATTGGTCACCACCAGCCCTACATTTTATTTGTAGAATTATTGTAGCGTGGGATTGGGACTTTCTCTTTAGTATAAGCTGTACTACAGCAGAGTGAGCTCTTTAACCAGTACTCGGGAAGATCTCCACTAATACCCCATGACAGCCGCAGAAGATGGGTACCTCATGTTCCAGTGCCTCACACCCTCTTAGAATGCTTTCCTCTGTCCATCAACATGGACATCCAGGTCTATCTGTGCTACACTAATGCCTTTCCAGTTGCAGACAGCAAACAACCACTCATCTTGTCCTCCAGACCTCATGTCCTCCTGATCGTCAAATGACACAGGAATTCCGCATTTCCTTATAGTTGCAGAACCATCAAAGGAAGTCACTAGGTCTGCTTCTTCCCTTCTTTGGCTTGGTGCTTCTTCATAGACCTTGACTGACTCTGCACCCTCAATGTCTGTCAACTATGTCTTCTCAACCCTATCCCCATGCTGTTGCCTACATTTTCTTCAAGTAGGTCATCATTATGGTCCATAAGGGGTAATTGAAGTCCTCACAATTGCCATTCATTGAACAACATAGACTCGTTTTTACTGGAATGTTCTCAATAGCACAAATAATAGTAATGTCAATGTCACAATTCAGATGACATCATAGTAAGATGATGGTTTTGCTGCCAGTAACATGGTAGCAAAACCCAGAACCTGTTCTCTTTAGGCTGCACAGTGCACACAGAGTGCCAGAAACTCTCCCTCTTTGCTTCAACTCTGTAGAGGAGGGACAGCCAGAAGCCCCAGGAGGTAGCACCACCAACACTGCCATACTATGCTGAGATGGGCTCAAAAACTGCGCTACCAGGACACGACAATCCCCCAAAGAAATTCAAACCCTATCCCACATGCATCTATACAAAGCACAACCGCAGACTCACCTCTGCCCTACTCGGCCTTCGTCATCTGTGCACCGAGTGCGGATTGTGGGGACGCATGATAGGGGTGAGCTGTGCGCTTCGTGTTTTCAGTTTACTTTATGCTGGGATGGGGAATCCCAAACACATGGCAACTTTGTATCTGCAGTCTCCTCCAAGAGGTCAAAGAGACCACCTATCACTCCTCAGGTCACCACTACACTGTGCTACATGCTGGTGTGCTCTGTCTTTTGACCATAAAAATCCACCAATCTCAGGCCGTTGAGGGAAGTCCTTATGGAGATTAATGACATCCTCAGCATCCTCTTAACCTCATATCATTACCATGGTAATCTCAGGCTCATTATAATAAGTGTGTAAAAGGGTATTTGCATTAGGCCCACCAAGACCAGGACCCACCAGGGAACTTGTGAATAATAGGGATTTATTTATAATCCGCCTCTTATAGGCATGATCTCCTTCTTCCAGCACTTTTTCAGCCAGAGGGGATGATGATCTCCTGTCTATGGCGAGAAGCAGATCGGTTTCGGGCACCGGGCGGTGGTTGTTTTGTACATTTAGCCCTGCTTTGGGCAATCAGAGCTAAATGTACAGCGCAACCTGCTCATCCGTCCTTCTGAAAGGGGCACACAGGGGCTTGTTAGATCCTGTGTGATAGCAATAAAGTTAAGTGGAAAAAAAAATTTGATAAAAAAATTTAAAAATAATAAGATAAAAAAATGATAAAAAATAATAAGTTAAAAAAATTATTTAAAAAAGTACCAAAAAAATAAGATAAAACATTTATTAAAAAATAATAAAGTCAAAGATAATAAGATAAATAACAATTTTAAAAGATAAAAATATATATTTTGTTCACAAAAATTATAAAAAAAATTAAAACTAACCCTGGCGCCGCCCTCCATTTGGGTTTGGTTGGCGGGCGCATAGAGAAACCTTGCCTTGGGGCAGCAGAGAGAGTACATCTGGCCCGGGGCAAATAGGAGGTGCGGTAGCCATCTTGGGCACGCTCAGCATACTATATTAGTGTATATTTTAGATAGGAGCCTTTCACCTACCAGCATGGCTTTGGAATGAAGGAGGAAACCCACATAAACACAGGAAGATCATGCATACTCCATGCATATAGTGTCCTGGTCAGGATTCAAACCCCAGTGCTGTAAGGCAGAAGTGCTAACCATTGTGCTCTGGTGCTCTTGCAAGAATTGGGATCATTCCTGCCCTCCTGTACTGTGGCTGCCAGAGTCTTGCAATGCCAGACATGTAGTCAGCTGGAGTGCCGAGGTTGCCTACCCCTGCTCTCTAGCTATCACTTCAGATGTGACAAATGTAAAAAATCCTATCATACCTCTGCCAGAGGGAGTCATACCTGGGGTGGTCAGAGTCTTGCAGTAACTCATGGGACTTGTAGTTCCACAACAGCTGGGTTGCCCAGGTTGCCTACCCTTTCACTACATTATCACCAACCAAAATCTCTGACTTAATATCTGGTTATAGTTGCCAGGGTAATCTGCAATGTGATGACAGAATGTAATACTGGTAACCCGCCTGCAAGGTGTTAATGGAACAACTCCATAAAAGCAGAAGGCAGCCTATATCAGTGGCTTCATGCCTAATTCTGTGCTTCAGCCCATAAATGGGCCTTTTCCCCATTCATAAAATACATAAGAAGGTCATCCCGGAATACATTGTTAGAACACATGACTCTTGATAAAGTCGGAGCACCATGTTTGACTCCTGTCCGTGCTCCAGTTGTTGAGCATTTACCAGTGACACCATGCAACTCATGGTGTCACTCAGCCACCCTTGTGATGTCTTCGTCGTTGGTAGCATTAGGCTCCGTTCACAAATTAGCAGTAAACATAGAAAATAATGCATTCAAATGTATCCTGTTCAGACCGTGCGGTACAAAAACACACGTCGCGCAAAAAGTCCAAGCGCGATACTCTAGGCCAGGGGTAACCAAACTCCGGCCCTCCAGCTGTGGTGGAACTACAAATCCCATGAGGCATTGCAAGATTCTCACAGCCACAGACATGACTCCCGGAGAGAGATGCATCATGGGATTTGTAGTTTCACCACAGCTGGAGGGCCGGAGTTTGGCTACCCCTGCTCTAGGTGGATTCCACGCGTTCTGACTATAGTAATAGCCGTAGATGTGTGGAATCCGCTTGTATGTTAAAGCTTGCGCGTTTTCATGCAAATGCCATGTGCGAATGGAGCCACAGGGCACAGACCAAGCATTTCCCAGTCTGGCTTTGCAATGTTAGGGTGCCCACACACCTTACGATAATCGTACGATAATCGTGGGAAATCCCGCGATCGTATGATTATCGTAAGGTGTGTGGGAGCCGTGCAACCTCTACTACTGTAAGGTCGCACGACTTTTAACTTACGAACATGTTTAAAAAACCCGCCGAGCATCGTACGATGTTCGGCGGGTGTGTAGCATGTTCGTAAGATAAAAGCTGGACTGGCCGGTGTGCGCAAGCGCACACTGCCCGTTCGGCATTGCGGTCATCGGAAGCCCGCCCCTCGGGGGGGCGCGGCTTGTGATCATTGCAAGTACGATCTGCCTGTCCAAGATAGGCAGATTGTAAATTTTTTTAAGTACCTTACAACCATCGCAAGACAAAAGTCTTGCGATGGTTGTAAGGTGTGTGCCCAGCATTATGCTAAATGTTTGCATTAAAGTTGAAGATCACCCTAGAATTATTCTCTGATCATTAAGTGGCCATAAAACACGTGTCATGATGAACGCGTGGCGCCATGTTTGACTTCTGTCCGTGATCTGGTTGTTCAGCAATCAGCATTGGAAACTGTTGGCCATTTACCAGTAACAGCATGCAACTCATGGCGTCAGCGAGCCCTCCTCCATCACATTCATGTCTTGTGATTGCAAAGCCAGACTGGGAAATGCTTGCTCTGTGCTCAGGGCTCCATTTTCACATAGTGTTTGCATGAAGATGCGCAAACTTTAACACGCGAGCGGATTCCGCGCGCTTGCGGCTATTACCATAGCCAGTAAATTAAAGTAATTAACCGGCACACACTTGAAGGGTTTTTAAAGTATTGATATGTTTATTCAATACCCAATGTCACATACTGTCATACGGTGCTAACGTTTCGGGTCCGCACAGGGATCCTTCATCAGAGCGACAGTGGTAGTAAATTACTTTTATTTACTATTAGTGTTTTGCACGGCGCCATCCGTGTGGTCACCTGGGCACCACATATACCTTGTGGTTTTGAGACCGTGGCAGTGCGAATGGGATTTGGACTTTGTTATTACCATAGCCAGAACGCGTGGAATCCACCTAGAGTATTGTGCTTGGACTTTTTCGCGCAACGTGTTTTTGTGCCACACGGACTTTGCTCAAGTGTAAACAGGATACATTTGAATGTATTATTTGTCATGTTTACTGCTAATGTGTGAATGTAGCCTGATGTTACCAACGACGGAGACATCACAAGGGTGGCTGAGTGACACCATGAATTGCATGGTGTCTCCGGTAAATGCTGATTGCTGAACAACTGGAGCACGGACAGAAGTCAAACATGGCGCCATGCATTCATCATGATACATGTGTTTTATGGCCATTCAATGATCACAGAGTAATTCTAGGGCAATCTTCAACTGTAAGGCAAACATTTAGCATAACAGCTTAATTAAATATATAATTGTGCAGCATTTTTCCTTAATTGGCTGTTTTATCATGACCTCCGTGTCAGCTGATGATATAAAAGGGCCAGGAGAGGGCAGCATCTGCTTACCCTTCAGCATTTACTCCACAGTACATCAATAGCAGGTCTGTACTAATGCCGGATTTATGGAAATGTACCGAGTCCATCAGCCTGACCATAATATTATTTGAATAATACAAATGTATTTAAAGAGAATTCAGCTGTATAAGGCAGATTAAAATGAACTGTGGAAATCATAGGCAGCGTAGTATTCAAGTATTTATAGTTTTCAG